GGCGGCGGCGGCGGCGGCGGCGGCGGCGGCGGCGGCGGCGGCGGATGGCGGCCAAGGGGGAGAATGTCAGCAAAGCCCGCAGAGGGAGGGCACGTGCCAAGAAGCGGGGCACGACAAAGCAGGGGGGGGGGAGAGGGACGAAGAGAACAGGGGGAAACAGAGAGAGAGAGAGAGAGGGAGGGAGAGAGGGGCAGAGAGAAAGGATGTGTCAACAGGAGTGGTACGCACGCTGGACGTGCTGTCTGTCTTGAAGCCGGAGAAAATGACAGAGCCGTGGCTGCCAGAGGACACCTCGATGCGGGTGTATACCCAAACGAAGAGAACCGTGGCTACGAATGTGTGGGACGAAAGGGCGGCCGGGGAAAGAGAGAGAGAGAGGGGGGGGGAGGGAGAGTCGACAATCAAGTTAAGGAGACACTACATCATGTGGAAAGGGAGGAGACAAACAGGCGGGCAGAGGGGCGAGGCAAATGGCTGCGCCAATAGGCAGGCAGATGTCCGGCGTCACTCGGACAAATGTAGGTCTGAGTGGGGCACGGAGGATGCAGACCAAGCAGGGGAAGAAAAAAAAACGAGGCAAGAGGAGGAGGCGGGCGGGGAAGAAGAGCACACAGGAAGGATATAGTCCACTGGCAAGGAAGATTCCGGTGTCCGAACGGAAGGACTCGGGGAAGAAGTGCGAGTAGGCCGCCGCGCCGATGGCCAATAGGCAGGTGATGATGCTGATGGCCATGCGGCGGTCGCCGCGCTGCAGCCAGCCGGCGGTCTCGCCAGAGGGGGACTTCTCCGAAAAGCCGTGGTACTTTTCGAGAAACTGCACACAAGGAGTAAAAGGCGTCAGTGCCAGGAAGAAACCGGCGGGGAGGAAGAGGGGCGGGCCGGGTGACGGACGTCGGCGATGAAAGTGTCCACGGCGGACTTCATGTCGTGCAGGGCATATGGCTCCACCTTCACAGGGGAAGCGTCTTCCGGCGTCGGGCCCAAGGTAAAGAAGCAGAAGCAGGGCGCAAAGGAGCGGTCAGTGTGGCAGCCCAAGCGAAAGGTCGAGAACAGCCAGCAGAGAGCGCGGAGGCAGGGATGTGCGCAGGCGGGCGTGGATGTGCGCAGGCGGGCGTGGATGTGCGCAGGCGGGCGTGGATGTGCGCAGGCGGGCATGTGTGGACATCCAAGCGGGCACATGCGCACGCAGGCAAATGTGCACACATGGATGCGAAGAGGCACACGCACCATAACCATCCCAGAAGTCGGTCATGGTGGAGGGAAGGGAATGGGTGGTTGCCTTCGTCGCGCTGGGAGGAAGAGCGAAGGCCCGGGAGAGTGGGGCAATGCTGGCAGGGAGGAGGGCGGCCACGGGCACAGGGGAGGCGGGGCAATGGAGCGGGGAGGGGCTGCTGAGCGGATCCGGCCTCCGCAGATGCCGGGGCTCCTCTTTTCCGGGCCCGACCCCCACACACCGGGCCGCGATCTCGGCCGGTGCTCCCGACCAAGCGAGGGGGGCCGACCAACGGGGGGGGGGGGGGGCCACAGACACAAATACAGGTACACAGGCACACACCCCAACGCGCGCCCGGGCCTGGGCCACCAAGGTCATCAGGCGGGGGGCGCGGCCCCCCCCCCCCCCCCCACAGACCGGGGGTCTCTCTCGGGAGCCTCTGATCGGCCATGAGACTATCCCCCGGCCAAAGGGGAGGGGGAGAGTCCGGGCGGACATGACGACCTCCCCGGCCTGCCGGCGTGTACGTAACAGGGGGGGGGGGGGACACGCAAATGCTAGCCGATGCTCGTCCACGCGATCGGCCTGGGCGCCCCCGTCCTACTGGGGGCGACACGCGCGGAGATGTTCGCGGACGGGCTGATACCCAGCGCCCCAAGAGAGCGAGTGCGAGGGAGAGACCCCGCGAGGGGGACCACACGCGCGGGCGCGTCTACAACAGGCAGACTATCCCGGCGCCCAAACGGGGGGGACGCCCTTGAAAGGTGTCCTTGGTAGACGATGGCGTGAAATCACGGCCCACGCCACACGCCCCTGGCCCGCCCCCGGCTGGCGACACATGGGGGGGGGGGGGGGGACTCCCCCAGAGATGGGCCCGTGAAGAGGCAGAAACGCCAGCCGGCGGTTTTCGCGCGCCGCGCACAGGCAAGGGCAGCACGCCGGGCCCCAGGGAACCCAAGCACCGGCCTTATGCACGCCGGCGCCGGCGCCCCCCTCCCCCGCCGTCCGCCCGGGTGTGAGAGGGGGCCAAGCTTGTACAGCCCCAAATCTCGGTCCGGGCGAAATGCCAATGCCGCACCGGGCGCCGCCCCAAAACGTTGGCATATGGGCGGCGAGCCGATCGGACCGAGCTGCATGTGCCCATCCTCGTCGCGGGCCTGCCCGGGCAGGCACATGCGTGGTGCCTGGCCGCCCGCGGGCTCTGGGGCAGATCGCGAGGTGCCCTGCCGGCGGGAAGCCCCCGGCAACCGGGCGAGCAATGGACACACCCTCCCCCCAGACCCCCCCCCCCCCCCCCCCGCTTTTGCCCCTCCCTCCGCGCCCCTCGCCGCCCTGCGCGTATTTTCGCTGTGCCTGTCACAACATCATGACCGTGCTCCTTGACTCCCCGCCGGTGGAGGGGCTCCCGGTGCCGGCGTCGATCACTGGTGAACTGGATCGCGAGCACTTCCGGCAGTTCATCCAGCAAACGCCCTTCGACCGGGCGGCGGTTCGCGCTTCGAGCGGAGATGCCGATCCTGATGCGCCTCCGACCGACGACCACACGGACATCCTGGAGGATGAGCCGGGCCATCTGGATGCGCAGGACTTCCGCCAGTCGGTGGACGATCCGGCCGTTGTGTCGGTCATCGTGCCGGTGCGCAATGCGGCCAGCTTCCTGGCCGAGGCCCTGGAATCGGTTCTTCAGCAGGACTACCTGGGACAGGTGGAGGTCTGTCTCTGGGATGACTCGAGCACTGTACGTGCGATCTTCGCGCGCGCGCACACACACACACATATATATATATATATATGTATGCATGCACACAGACACGCATGCACACCCCTGGCCAAGTGCCTGCTGCTGCTGCTGCTGCTATGGCTGCTGTGACTGTGTATTGCCGCACCCGGTATTGTGTCTCACCACTCCCCGTGTGCCTGTCTTTGGCCGGGTGCTGACACACACACACACACACACACACACACACAGGACGACTCCCTGGACATTGCCCGCTCATTTGTCGGGCGCTTCCATCAGCGCGGCTACCGGATGAAGATTGGTCGAGCTTTGGCCGGAGCCCCGGCTCGCGGGTGTGCGGCCACCATGAATCGCGCCATCGCTCGGCTGGCCACCGGGTGGCTGGTTCTCTTCCTGGATTCGGATGACATCATGCACCCGGCGCGGGTGACCCGGCAGGTGGCACTGGCCCGGCGCACCGGGCCGCGTGCGCTCCTGGGCAGCCGCTTTTCACGACACCCCTTCGGCAGTACCGGGCGCTACACCGCCTGGGCAAATGGCCTCTCTTCCGGTGTGTTTGTGTGCCGCCGACTTGCCTTTCCGGCCTCCTGCCAGTCAACTTACATCCATCTGACTGGGCTCGCTGCCTCCTCTTGCTGGGGCTCGGGGGGGGGGGGGACTCCGGGGACACTCCTGCCTCAGCGTCGCTTTACTTTGGGGCCATGGCCGAGTGCTCGATCATCAAGCCTACCTGGGCACTTTACCGGTCGCGGCTGCGGCACGTGGGCCTCTTCAATGAAAATGCCCCGGTTGGCATTCCGGAGGATTTGATGTGGCTATACCGCCACCTGCATGGAAGCATCGCCTCGGAGCCGGCAAATTTCAGGTGCACGGATGTTGATTCGGCATTCCGGCCTGATCGCTGTTCAGCGGGGGCTCTGGAGCCGGCGTGCGCCTGTTCCCTGGTGGCGGCCGATGACCGGGCCACCGGGCCGGGGCTTCTTTGCCGGGACCCAGCCCCGCTGACCCTGTACCGGCATCACCCGGGGGCCACCTCGCCGTCGGTATTGGAGCCCACCCTGATTCGAGTGCGCACGCAATTCCTCCAGTCGCTGGTCCTCCACCGAGAGGCCGGGACCGCGGACCCCGGCGCCGACGCCCTGTGGCTGGCTCTGGTCAACCAATACATGAGCACCCTGGTGCCTGTTCCGCCGCGCAAGGACCCCTCGCCCGCGGCCGTGGCCGCCGCCGGGGCCTACTCCCCCCGGCACTTCGATATGGCGCTGCGTGCTGCTCGGGAGGCCAGCGCGCCGACCGGTCCGGCCGTGGAGGCCATCCTCCGTGGGCATCCATCTCCCCTGCGTGTGATCATTTGGGGCGCCGGCGATGTGGGCAAGGCTCTTTGGCGCGAGCTGAGCCAACCTATGTGCCATCGGGTACGCGGGCCGGCGATCCATACATCCATCCACTTAGGCAGATGCCTTTTTTTTTTATTCATCCCCTTGTACAGTGATGCTGTTTGAACTGTAGCAGTCTCGAGATACGAACTAACGTTTGTGCTTTTGCCCCCTTGCGCCCTTCCTCCAACAAGATTGTCGGCTTTGCTGATGTCAAGCCCAGCCTTTTGGCCGTGGGCCGGAGCGACCCGGCCTATGGCTCACTGCCAGTAATCCACCCCTTGGCCCTGAAGGAGTTGCTCCGGGACACAACCGGCGCCTTGCCAGGCACCGGGGGACACCCGGAGCAGGTCGACGAACAGACAATCAAACAGGCCTCCCAGCAGGATGCGCCCGGTGAGCAGGCCGCTCCGTCTCTGGTGGCCGACATGGAGCAGCCCCCGACCAAGCGCCGCCGCTTGCGTCCCGCGAAGAAGTCCCCGCCCGGCATTCCCCCAGGCAGCGTGGACCTGGTGGTGCTGTGCGTCAAGCGCGGCCTCCCGGGGACGGGGAGTCTGCCTTCCCCTGGCCCCACTGGGCCAACCTCGGTTGACGAGATCGTCCAACACCTGGGCCTCGTCGAGGGGAAGAACCTCCTCTACTTTGTGGCGTAGCCGCCGCCGCCCCCCCCCCCCTTACCTCTCTCTGGGTCAGGCTCGGGCAAACGCGCGGCTGAGCATACACACACACACACACACACATACACGCATACACGCATACATACACACGCGCACAGCATGCGTACGCGCGTCCACCTACGAATGAGCGAGGATACAACCACACACAGCGGCTCTATATTGGTGGCTATGTATAGGGAGAGGGCGAGGGGCATGCATGCCCACCTTGGGAAAGAGGGGAGAGGAAGGGGGAGTATGGAAAAAGGGCGCATCATTCTGCCCCGGAAACGGGGCGATACCTCGACAAAAGGAGGGGGGGGGGGAGGCGCCCTCGCGCATTGATGATCACACTCGTCCACACTCGTCCACACGCACACGCACACGCACATGGCGGCACACATGGCACACACTCAGATGTCCGAATGCGTCTCGGGCTCGGTCGGGGGGAAATCTTCCTCCGGTGGCCAAATGAGGGTGCGCACATCGGTGATGGTGTTCATCTGTGCCGCGCAGCCAATGATAACTGAGTTCGGATGCGAGCCGATGATCGTGCGCTCGGGGTCAAGGCCAAACTTGTTGAAACACAGCAGGACCTCATGCCCGGAGCCCAAGGAGGAGGACGAGGACGAGGAAGAAGAGGAGGAGGCCGCGGCCGCGCTCGCGGCCATTTCGCTGGGAGCATCTGGTGCGTCGTGCTCGGCGCCGCCCTCGGCACGCGATGAAGAGGAGGAGCTCGAGCCACCCTTGCGGATGCTGGCCAGGAAGCGGGAACTCCGCAGGAAGCCGGAGGAAGAACTAGAGGCGCCGGCGCCTCCGGTACTCGTGGGGTCACTCCCGGCGACATTCGGGTCTTCGGCCTTGGCCAAGGATCCCAGGGAGCCAAGCCCAACGGCCGTCGGCACCGCATGGAGGATGGCCCCGCAGAGGATCAACGCCCGGGCCAGAGCCTCGGCCTGGCGCAGGGGGATCGGACGACCGAAGGAGGCTGGCGAGCCGGCCGGCGCATCGGCGGCCGGCGGCGCACCAAACTGCCGCAGCCACTGGACAAGCTCCTTCGCCCGGAAGACATACTCGTAGGTCGAAGAGGAGGCAGTCCCATTCGAATCGCCGGAGGAAGCCCCGGAACCACCGCCCCCGAGCAGGTGGTTCACCTTGGCCGCGGTGGATCGGACAATGCTTCGCCCGGAGGAGGGCTTCTTGAAACGGGCATGGACCTTGAGACCACCGCCGCGGGCTCCGGCCGGCAGGCCAGCCCCCCGGGGGAGGGCATTGGTCACGCCATTGTCGCGCAGGCGGTTCAGCAGTTCCAGCAGATCGACGGACTCCTCATCGACCACAGACAGGCTCATGCTGTCCAGCAGGGCATGTGAAGGGATCAGTTTCAGGATCGACGGATAGGCCACAATGTGCGCCGCCGAGGATGGTGAGGTCGGCGCAATCTGCACGTGAGCCAGCGACCGGACGATCTGAGTCGCTTCGCGCGTGGTGATGTCACCGAAGACGAGGTTCGAAGTGTCACCATCAAACTCGAAGCTGAGATGAAAGGGGGGGGGGGGGGGGGGGCGG